TATCAAATGGAATGATAATGGGTCTGGAGTATAGAAGAGCTTGTGCCAGCTGCCATTACTCAGCTCTAACTTTATTATTTATTTCCCAGGGAAGCTAGAAATATGAGATTTTTATGTGTCTTCTTGATTGATTAAAACTTTTTGGGACTGCAGTTTTTTACTAATGAATTCTCCCCTGATTTTTACAACAAAACAAAATAGATTTGTAGGCTGAATCTGGCCCTTAGCTTGGACATGGAGCTAGGCATAGGGACCTCAGTGAGGCATCTGGCAAGGCTTCACATGATACCATTACCTTGAATTTATGGTTAGGTGACAATAGAGACATTACAATTAGGTGAGTTAAAGTTTATCTCAATATAAGGATAATTGGATCTCGCCAATGATGAAATGGACTGCCCTTATAATAGAAGCATTCACCTTAATCAGAATTTGGCAATTCACAACATCATATGGAAAAATAAGTTGGGGTTGAATTTTGAATTTGATGTTAATATTTTTTCATAAATGTGAATATACTTATGTGTATATATACGAGTCTCCTTTTATTCACTCATCCATTTGAAGATGTTTATTAAAAATCTACTATTGCTAAGTACTGTTCAAGGTGCTGGGAATACAATGGGAACAAAAATCTCTGCTCTTAATGGAGTTTTCAACCTATATTTGCCACAGTTTTGACTTTAAGTTACATGGGCACTCTACGAATATGTTTTCTTGTGTGTTAACTTTACTATGGAGTTTTCCTATGCATTCAGCACAGAAGATGAAATTATTTTGGGTGAGAAGCACATTAATCTGTGACAAATACGTGTTGTTAGCTAATACATCTAAGTTAATTCATTCACCTTCATTTTCTTTTTAGAATATTTATTATGCACCTGCCATTCTGGTGGGGCAAAGTGGTACATCATTTTTGGATGTAGAGTCAATAGGTACAACCTGGGATAGGTGGTTGCACCCTGCATGCACCAACATGTTAAATACTTTGGTGACCCAAACACCTGACATTGTCTTTGGTTAGCCTTTCACCAACTTAAACAAATTAGAGAAGTGGATGAAATCATCTGTCTTCTGGCAGTGATTGTTCCAACATCAGTATCACTCTCCTTAAGCAACAAGACCTTGTCTGGGTTTTAAATCCCATCATGCCATCTCAGCTGTAATTCTAAAATGAGGTGGCAAACATGGTAAAGTCTAGTGATAGACTTATGAATGAGTCTATTTCAATCTAATTTCTTGCTCTTCTTTCAGTATTGGTGATGGAGTTTTTTAAAAAAAGATTTTTGAGATTACCATCTTAAAAATAATCTTATCTGATTATGTAAATAATTTAAAAAACAAATCAGAAATAAGTGGGGGAATTAGACTGTGACTGAGTTTATTTCTCCTTGTATTGACACAGTTGCAGTTAAGGAATTACAAACTAAGAATTCTTTTCTCTCAAATCTGGATCTCGTGATAGCTCTACAGAGCTGTTTTATAAATTATCCGAGAGGCTTGCCGATGTTTCCTGAGGAGCAAATTTAAAAACAAAGCAACTTTCATTTTAATGCTTGAAAATAAATTATTAAAAAAGAATCATGGCACTCTAGAATGCCTTTATCAGCCACATATTGTAGTAGGAAAATGGCTGTTTCTTCTCTGATGAGTGAACATTTTCAGTGAAGTCTGATGGTCCTAAAAGTTCATTGTGGAACCAGCAGAGCACAGTGAGTTAAAGTTCCTTGAAAGCATTTTCAGGAATGCTATTATGGCCCTCCCATACTCACCTATCTATCTTTTCTCATATGCTTTTTAAAAATTCACTTTGAGAAGGCAAAGATTTTCTCTTATATGGATTTCTTCTTTCAAAGGGAATTCCACACCAAACTGAATGCCTAGAAGACTGAGTGCCTTTAAGCAAACTGAGTTAATGCACTCTGAGAACACAGTCAGCTTGATGAGTAAGGCTGGGAGACAAGCTGAATGAACATTAACATAAATTATGGAAATAAAGACCAAATATAGCTTCTAGTTTCTACAGAGCTAAATATACTTACTAAGATGCTCCACTCCAATAAAGAATTAACTTACCTTCAGCTTAATAAAAATTATATTTTTCTAGAAGGGATGTTAGGTCATTTCTCAAATGGCTACTGGGTGACCTAGTTCTTTCTTCCTTACTACACCACTGTTCACAAGCTGCCCTGTGGAGCTAGGCTTGCCTCCCTCCTGCTTGCCTGGGGCACCTCCAAGCCTTGCTGTTGTACAGTGTACTTGATGTGCTGGCTGTAGCAATGGTGGTACCCGGAATGATTTTAGGTGCTTCATTTATTAAGTGAACAGCAGTACATTTTGCATTTAGAGATTGTAAAAATTGTTAAGAGTACTGGAGTAACTGAAGTTCTGGAAACTTTGCCTTCTCCCACGGAGAAAGATGTTTCTTTGGTCAGAAATGTACATAAAAGAATCTTCCTTTCCTTTGCCAGGACCTGCAGGGACCTCAGGCTACAGGACCACCACATTTTAATGTTCTACCCCCTTCAGGAATGCATTTCGGTGTTGCGGGGCTTCTGCCACTGGTAGTCTACCCCAAAGAAGAAACACCCTGAGGTAGATGAGGGTAGTTCTAAAAATCCACAGACTTTTCAGATACTAACTTCATTTATACTCCTGATTTGTCTACGAGAGAAGTCACTATGAGCGTTAGTTTCTAAAGGAAGCCTGTTTCCTCCCATCACTTCTGCTCAGTGATCTCTACCTATTTAATCACCTGAAGCACAGAAAACATCTTGCTAAGAAGAGGAAAGACCAACTGTAGACCTAAGACCGTACTATTTTCATGCAGGAAAAAAGAACAAAAGAGAAACACCTGACTGTTCTTTTAGCACAGTAACTATTTAAAGGAGACACTTCTTATATTCCAAAATTTTAAATAAATAATCTTGAATTAATAGGTACTACTAAGATGCTATTTAGCATCTCCAGGATATACTGATAGCCAAGCATGAGTAGTAATGCATTTAGACATGCATATGATCTTTTAAAATATCACATGAAGAAGTATTCAGGCATTAGTTTGTAGCACATTGTTAAATGGCATATACAGCAAAGCATGTTATTCTGTGTACATTCAGATTTGGTGAAATAGCCAAGGTTAGGATTGGATGTTCTTACAAAATTACTCTTTAAAAAGCTTTTTATTTTGAAATAATTATAGATTCATAGGAAGTTGTAAAGATAGTACAGAGAGGTCCCATATATGTTTCACCCAATGATTATATCTTATATAACTATAGAATAATATTAAAATGAGGAAACTGACATCAGTACAGTATGTGTATAGCTCTAGGACATTTGATCACCTGCTTAGACTCATGTAACCATCACCCAATCAAGATACAGAGCAATTCCATCATAACAAAGATCTTCCTCACGCTACCCCTTTATAGCCACAGACCCCTTCACCCCATCTCTAAGCTCCACCAATAGCAAATTTCTAAAAGTACTCTTTTATGCTTATCTTACATATTTTTGCTAAAAAAAAAATGAGAGAACTACAGGTCTTATGTTTGGAAATGGATGGCTCTTAGTTTGCCACTGGCTAATTCGTGGCCCTGGACAACTCACTCTCTGCCAGTCTCAGTAACTAAAATGAATATTTGGACTATTTCAGAGAATTGGCATTAGAGAACCTATATGATTATTTGGTCTTAATTATGATATGTTAAAGGCTACTAAATACAAACCAAGTTAATAAAATGTGATTTAAGTATGTGGAGATCAACAAGGATTGAACAGTGTGTTTTAAATGTAATCTGCATTAAAAGTGTCATTGCCAAATAACTTAAGTAACTAAAAGCTGCATTATGATAAGACATTGATTTTCTAAAATTTGAAGCAAGTAAAAAACATGGTTTAACTTGGACCATCTTTCAAGGGGACAAGTGCTACTGTTCTACTAAATGCACAGGCAGAGAAAACTTGGACTCCCTTTGTCCCCAAGAGCATACTTTGGGCAGGCAAAAGCAAATGTCCCTAAAATGTAAAATGTGCTTAGCCAAGGATCAGAACTGTCAATGCTGCAGCAGAAACTTTAAGATGAAGATTCAGAACTATAGGGTTCAAATTTGACCCTTTTCTGAGAAAGGAGGTTCAGACACTGCAGCACCTCTTTGCTTCTGTTGCTCAGGTTTTGGAGTCAGAGGCAGAGGACCTACAAGGAACCCAGCCATGGAATTGCCTGCTTCTTGCACCTTACTTACTACTTGCTCAACACTAGTGGACAAGATAAAAGCAATAGGAAAGCAATTTTCTCCAAGTTACCATTAAAAGCTTTAAGAATCTCTTCCCATGTACCAACATACCAATTTAAGCTTGCTGATCTCTTCCTCTCTATAAGCCATTCTTATTTTAAAATCAAACCTGTTAATGCGACCCAGCATGAGGATGTTTTGAGCTTATCAACTGAGCCCTTCAATAACGTATCAATGAAAATGGGTCCTCCCTCCTCACTTCTAATAATCTGTATGAAAAATTCCCTAGGAAGCAGAAACTTAATAACATGTCCTTTGGTGACTTGGAACCATCCACATCTTGGGGAATATCTGAAGCTTTCTTTTTGGATGCCACCGGTTCTTCACTGAAAGGCACCATTTCTAAGGCCCTCTCCGGAGGACAGTTAGTAAAGGGAGATCCCAAACTGACCTGGCCAGCCTTGCCTGTTGTAGAGAGGAGTCCAGCCCAGCCATCTCAATAACTAATCAATCAAACAGGGACACTGTCCTGTCAGTGTCCTTCTGCTGAGATCCCCATTTTCTGTGCATCCCTTCCTGAGAAAGGAGATTCAGACACTGCAGCACCCAGAATTACTCCCTCCACGTCTGCCACACTCACTGGAAGAGGCGGTGCTGGGGTCCGAGTGTCCATCTCCACCCTCATTGGACCCAAAAGAATGAGTCGCCCTCCGGTACCCGCGGGCACTGACAGCAGAGGCCCGCACAGACGCCGGGTCTTACCCTTTCTCTCCCAGAGGGGACCCATCGCGCCGACCTGGAGGAGGCATCCGCGCGCGCCCGGGAAGCCGGGGCCCAGCTGGCCCGGGGTCGGATGCGTACGGGGCCCGGCGCCGCCGCTGCTGCGCGCCCGGGCTCGGGGAGCCGGGCTCGGCCCGCTCCGCCCGCGCCAGTCCGGGCCGGACACGTGGTGCCTTCGCTGCGCGCGCGCTCGGGGCCCGGTGGCCCTCGGCCTCTGCAGCCTGCCCGGCCCAGCACCGGCCGCGACAAACAGGCGGAAGGGCGGGCGACCGCAGGGCGGGCGCCGGGGCGCGGGGTGCAGCGAGCTGGGCGCGGCGAGGGCCGCTCGCCCGGGTGCTGCTCTCGGGGCTCCCGACCTCCAGGCTCCGTCCCTGTCGCCAGGGCCCCGGCAAATTTCACTGTACGCTCGGTTTCCCGAAGCCACTCGGGGCGGGGGCGGCGCACTGCACAGGCTCCAGTTCCCGCCTGTTGAGGGGAACCGCGAAGGGCGGGAGGCCTGCGTGGCGCGAACCCCGCGTCGCTCCGGCCTGGATCCCGCGGCAGCTGCGGGCCTGGGCCTGGGGCCCGCCTCGCGGTCTTCGCTCACCCCAGGTAACCAACTGTCCCCGCGCTGGAGATGCAGACCTCTGAAAACCCTCAGTGTGGACCAAAGGTCTCCTGGGAAAATTCCTTCTGCGACCACAGCCTGCCTGTCGAAGGGCATCTAAGGAGACACCGCCCAAAATGGGACCAAGATTTACCTGCAGCCACAAGCTCTTTCGGACTTCACCAGTGACCTTGGGCACCTCTTCTAAACAAGGTGTCTCTGTCCGAATTTACTGATGCTGACAATAAACGTGGCCATGCACTTTCTAACTCTCAGGAGAGAAAAGCAATTGAATTATTAGAAAAGCAGTCTTATTTAATTTTAAATTGAAATAATTGACATCCAATATTAAAGTTAGTTTCAGGTGTACATTTATATGCGTTAGGCAGATACCATCTTTCACTGTACAAAGTTATTGCAATATTGACTATATTCCTTATCGTTGTGTTTTAGGGATTTATTTATTTTACAACTGGAAGTTTGTACTTCTTAATCCCCTTCACCTATTTCACCCATCCTCCACCCACCTCCTCTCTGATAACCACCAGTTTGTTCTCTGTATTTCAGTCTGTGTCTGTT